TGAGCTTACTTCCAGGCACCCGAGGTGCATAATAAATTTGAGCTCTGTCTGTGAGGGAGTCGGCCTGAATGAGCTCTACCCTTCCTACTCTGGCCCTAGGAGCTATGATAGAGCCTGCCCTTGAAGGTGGTCCACGATGGGAAACTAACTGCTTGCCAAGACTCTTCCACTTTTGGGCACCTCCAGTGATTAAGGTTTTTCTTATTAAGTGCTTGTTGTATACAAGGCAAAGGCAGTATGACAGTGGGATAGAGTGCTGGTCTTGGAGAGAGAAAGATCTGAACTTGAACCCAGGTCTTCCCTCCTCTGACACATACTGGCTGTGTGACCTGGGGGCGAGTGACTTAACCTCTCTCAGCCTCAGTTTCCTCATCAGTAAAAAATCATAGCATCTACTTCACAGGGTTGGGGAGGATCCAGTGAGCTAATACGTAAAGCACTTAGCAAACCATAAACTGCTATGTAACAGATACCTATAATTAGGACACGTCCCAGCATCCCCTGCCCTGCAGCCTCTCTGACATCCACGTCTCTGTCCCTCCCACTGAAACACTGTACTGTGCCCGTGGGATTCCCAGGTCTGGTGGGGAGTTTTTTGTGTTATCTTTGCCCAGCCATCTCCAGCCCCGAAGGCCCCCCTTCCAGCTCCTCGATTCATTTGTAAGCTCCTGAAGGTAGAAGCTGTCTAGCTTGTCCCTAGCATACTGCCTGGCACATAGTAGGTGTTTAATCAATGCTATATCTGTTTAGTTGTTTCTCTCTGTAGTGACTTGCCTGGGATCACATAGCTAGTCAGTGTCTGAGGCAGAAATCAAACTCAGGTCTTACAGATTCTAACTCCTGTGCTCTTTCCATCTCCCCTCCCAGCTACTCATAGAGATCAAATGACTCGGCTAAAGTCACGCCGTGCATGGCAGAGGGAGCTCTGCTCCTTCAGTGCTAACCTCCTCCAATTTTTTTTTTTTTGGCTTGGCCTCAGCCACGCGGCACCAAACGCTAGGTGGCATTAGAGGAAAGAGCAAGGGAGCCTCTGAAACAAGAGGCTGGAGGGAGGTCATCTGCAAAGGCCAGGGCGAGCTGGTTGCCCAGGCCGAGCTGGTTGCCCAGGCCGAGAATGGCAATTCATCCATGTGGGAGAGACTTATATTGTCTGCAATTCTGCTGCGAATGGGCATTAAATGGGGTCTTTTCTGCACAAAGCTAGGGCTCTGTTTATTCCCCTTTGGCCCCCAGTCTAAATGCCTGGCAAGATTCCTACTCAGATCACTTATATTTCTTTGTGTCTGCAGCACTTAGCCCTGCTTAGGGGTCAGGATCTCGTAAGTTACCCAGAGATGCTGACCTGCATGGGTACTAGCGACCAGCACCACTTCGTGAAGCTCATTTACTGACTCCCTTCCTTTCCCCTCAGGACACTCCCCCTCGGACTCATTTCTCCTAGGCTGCTTCCACAGCCTCACCCACAGATGAGCTCCCTTTCTTGTTTCCATGTGACTCCTTCTCTCCCTTTCTCCCGCTTCCACCTAATGTTAGGAACCGACCTTTGGGACCTCAGAGGTCATCTACCACAAGCTCCTTGTTTACAGATGAAAAAACTAGGGCTCATGGAGAAATGACTTGGCCAAGGCCATACAGGTGGTGAGCATCAGAGATGGGCTTTGAATTTCCTCTTGACAAGGAGAGCTTTTCCAGAATGCAATGGGCTGCCTCTCTGGCTGGCTGGTCAGTCAAGGACTTCATGTCAGGAATGGGACAGCGGGGATTCTTTTCAGGTATATGCTTGACAAAATAGATGGCTGCTGGGATCTCTTCCAACCATGAGGCTTCAGTTTATAGCACACTTTACAGCCATTATCTCATGCTAGCCCCATTTTACAGACCGAGAGAGAGGAGGGAGAGGTGCTTCTGATGCTGAGAGGGGGGGCAAAGAGAGAGATGGAGAGGGGAGAGAGAAACAGGCAGAGAGGAGGAGGAAGAAAGGAGAAAAGAAAAAGGCGGAGATCAAGGAGGGAGAGAGAAAGAGAGAAGGGAGGGGGAGGGAGAAATGGGGGAGAGAGAGAGAAGGAGAGAGGTGGGAAGTAGGAGAGGGAAGAGAGGGAGAGGGAACTCATGCTTGAGACTTGTTATATCTGTGTGTGTTTGTGTAAGGAGGAGAGAGAGAGGGAGAGAGAGAGAGAGAGCCAGCAAAAGGGAGCCAAAGAGAGTGAGAGAGATCTCTGAAGTAGTTTCACAGTCAAGCAAAGTTATTTGAACACCCTCATCCAGCTGGCTGGCTAGGATGTGGTCACTGGAACATGTCAGTGGTTCCCTGAGCTGCCGTCTATCACATCTGGTCTTTTGATTTGGAAGGCTGGTGCATGAGGGCACCCCAGGGACAGAGGCAAGGCCGCTGCCTGTCAGGTCACAGGAGGAGCCTCATCCGTGCCTGAGGAACAAGAGCCCCCTGAGGTCTGTGTGAAGGGAAGAGCCCAGGCCTCCCGACACAATCCCACCCCGTGCCTAGGACCGGGGCTCTGAGAGTCTGACATAGGGTGAGCGCAGGATGGAGTCGGGGCTCAGAGAGGTTGGGGGTGGATTGTCTCTAGTCTGGCCCATTGCCAGAGAACTCAGAACAAAGTCCCAGCCTCCTGGCTCTGGGGGCCTCTTTTATTCGCCTGGGAAATGGGCCCTTCTCTGGCCCAAGTCCTTCCTGACTTTGAAACAGCTGGGTTGCTGCTCTTGACCCCTGGAGCCTCTGGATGTCCTCACATGCTCCCCAGCTCCCCCAGAGGCCCTGATCCTCCCCCTACAGAACATAAGCTCCCAGAGGGCGGGCTCTGTTAGTCTTTAGCTGTCTCCCCAGTGCCTAGCAGAGTGCCTGGCACATAGTAGGTACTAAATAAATACATTGGTCATTACCTGTAGGAGAGAGCAAGGCTGCTGAAAATGAGAACGGTTTTCCCCCTTGTGGTCTCTAAATTCAAAAAAAAAGTAAAGGAATAAATAATGATATCATCTGCCTTCGCAGGATAAAGGGGCTGGGGACCATCTGAGGTAGGCAGTGAAAGGGGGCCCCAGGACAGGGAGGAGACAGCAGCTGGCCTCATCAGGTGGTAGTTTCCAGGGACCAGCAAAACGCCGTGGAGGGGAAGCTTTCCCAGAATTTTCAGCCTGCAAAGTCTGAAGCTCTGAATGACCCACACGCACATGAAAAGGTCAGGGAGGCAACGAGGTGAAGTGGAGAATGGGCTGACTTTGGAACAAGGGAACCTGGCGTAGAAGCTGGGCTCTGCCTGTGCCGAAGGCAAGCTGATACTTCCATCCATAGAACACTGGGCCTGGAGTCAAGAAGATCTCAGTTTGAATCCAGCCTCAGACACTTGACCCTTACTAGCTGTGTGACCCTGGGCAAGTCACTTAATCCCAACTGCCTCAGCAAAAAAGAGAGAGAGAAGATCTGAGTTCTAATCCAGCTGCAGACACTTACTAGCTGTGTGCCCCTGGGCAAGTCACTTAATCTCTGCCTCAGTTTCTTCAACTCTAAAATGGGGTTAAAAATAGCTGCTACCTCCCAAGGTTGTGGTGAAGATCAAATGAAAAAATATTTGTAAAGTACCTGGCAAGCTGCAGGCCCTAAGTACTTCCTTCCTCCCTCCTTCTGCCTGTGTGACCTTGGAACAAAGAAGTCATTTTATTTCCTGGGCCTTAGTTTCCTCTGGGTGAGGATCATCACACGTGCTGAGCTTGGTCCCCTCCTCCCACTCACAAACGGGAGAAATAGGAGAGAGAAAGTCTGAGTGGAGGAGCTGGCCCTGCTCAAAAATTCCAGAAAAGCTCTCAGATCAGATTGTTGAGAGGAAGGAGGCAAGAGCCCAACACAGGCGTGGGGATCCTGCTTAGCATGTGGCCAGACCCAGACCTGAGACCCTGGCCGGTCCCAAAGGATAGGCTCCAGTTTCTCCCTAAAGAGCTTAGCGGTGCCATGGGACAGGATTTCAGCTGAGCCTGAGCACTGGAGGTACAGTGCCCAACAAGGAGCAGCCTGAGGATGTCATAAAGGGTCACAGGAGGTGTATACATTGTCTTGGCTATATACTCCGTAATCTAGTGGCTGTGCCTGTCTGCTGGCATATTCTATGTGTTTGTCCCCTCTTACCATTGACTTTATGGAAGTGCAGCTCCAGTTTGTGGGGGAGATGCTCTGTGACATTTTGATTACTGTGTCATTTCAGGAAATGTCTTCACTTTGTGCTCATTTTTCTACTCGGTTGACTACTGGAGGGAAACCCACAGGTGGGGGCTCTTGTGTTTTAGAGTGCAGGCCCACAGAATATATTCAACGTGGGTTACAGAGTTGGAGTTAGGACCTCAGAAGTCACCTTTTCTAAATGGGAAAACAGAAGTCCAGACTCGCCTAAAGTTACACAGGTAGTAAGTAGCTGGTAGAGCTAGAATTTGAACCCAGGACCTTTAACTCCAAATACAGCTCTTTTCAGTACACCACAGATTGATTTGATTTCATTCCGGAGTAACTTGGACTACACCCTTAGATTGAGCCTTTAAAAGAGACGTCTAGAGAGAATCAATCAGCAAATATTTCTCTAAGCTCTAGGTGGCTGGGGATTCCCCCAAAATCAGTCCCTGCCCTCAAAGTTACATTTTACTGCAGGAAGGTTGGAGAGGTAGGTTATAAGCATATATAGGAATATGCAAAATTGGGGGAGGGGGATCAAGAAAGGCTTCATCAAGATAAGCCCTGAGGGAAACGAGGAACTCTAAGAGGCAGAGTTTAAATGGGAAATGCATTCTAGGCAAGGAGACCAGAGATGAAAGAGGCCAGATTGGCTGGAGTTGGTGGGAGTGGAGTAATGTATGCACAAGGAGGCTAGAAAGGTAGGCTGGAGACAAGCTGCAAAGGTTCTTAAATGTCCAACGGAAGAGTCTGCATTTGACCATAGAGGTAATGGGGAGCCATGGGACTTTATTGAGTAGTGGAGTGACTGCTCAGACTTGTGTTTCAGGAAAAGCCCTTTGACAAACAAGGAGAGAAGCAAAGTTCAGAGGGCTGGAGAGAAGCCTGTGGGGATACACAGACTTTGGGAAGTCACCCACCTCCCTTCATGTCTCAGATTTGGTAGCCTGGGACCTTGGGAGTAGTAGCACTTCCCCACCCCAAGACCACCATCCAACACCGTTGAGAACGCAGGACCTGGCCACAGCTTCTGCAGGTGCTGCTTACATCTCCCCCACAGCCCACCCTCAGCAGCTGGGGCTGCCGAAGTCCCAGAAAACAAAGTTCCTGCCCCCAAAATCCTTGGCACAGTCAAATGGTTCCAAATCAGAAACAGATCTTCTATCAGTGGAAATGACACTCAAGAAGATATATTACCATCTGCCTTGCTGCTGCGCCCTAAGGACTAGCGGGGCCTTTCCATCTGTTCTGCAGCTGGGCCCTCCAGTATGTGCTGTCTGCCCCCATTAAAATGTGAGCTCCCTGAGAGCAGATTGTCATGATTTCCTATTTGTATCCCAGCACCTAGCGTAATGCTTGGCCCATAGCAATAAATGTCTTTATACTCACTGGAAAGTAAGAAGTCTGGACTGTTTATGAGATCAGGTGTGTCTTTTCTGTTTGGATTTTTTTTGTTGTTGGATTAAATAAAACACATCCTGTGTTTCATATATTCAATCTAATGGCTTGCATGGAAGTTAAGACTTTTTTTCCCCTTTTTCTGTAGAGACATGGACACAAAGTATATTTTTCAGATGTTCTCAAGGGAAGCCTTGGGTCAAGGCATGGGCCTAAAAGAGAGATTGAACATGGTCTGGATAAATCCAGATAAGGGGTTCTCAGAGGTGAGGACCCTGCAGCCTGGAGGCCACATGTAGCCTGGGTCTTCAGGTTTGGCAAGGCTGTATGTGGCCTGGAGGCCACAGGTTCCCTACCCCTGGGTTAGATAGATCCAGAACTTAGGTTTGGGTCTATCTATAACTGCCAAGGTCCTCTCTCCAATGGAAAAAATATATGTATTTCCCTGGGCAGGGATAAGTATAGGTTTCTGAGCATACATATAATTCCTAATATTGAAATACTCTGATTCTGTAGCTTTTTCTAGTGTTCAGATACATTTCCAATTTCTACGTTTCATCAACTCTATAAGGATAGAGCATGAAGAATTTTTCTCTGTTATATAGTTGGGGATACCAAGGCACAAAGAGATTATTGATTAGCCCCAAACTATAAAGCAATTTCACTGTAGAACCCAGGCAAAAAACGCGAAGTCGTCTTAGGATTCTTTCCATGCAGACGACAAATTAAAAAAAAAAAAAGAGGGGCAGTATGTTATAATGGTTAGAGCTCTGGTTAGGCAAATCAGTATCCGACTCTCACCGTAGATGCTAGCCTTGTGTCCCCGGGCAAGTTACTCCCCCTGGGCCTCAGATTCTTCCTCTTTAAAATGAGTGGGTTGTCTGGCATCCCACCCTTCTCCTAGGCTCGAAGCTGCAGCGTCCCAGCGCTCTCACCAGTGTTCTGAGTGCCCTGGGGGCTGAGATGCTCAACCTAGGCGTGGCCAGGCCCCCCAGTTGTTCGCGGCTCAAAGAGAAGAGGGAATCTGGGCGAGTGTCCTCGCCTTCCAGACCCTCTGAATCTCTTTGCTTTCTGGGTGGAGAGGGAAGGAGAGAGGGGGAGGGAAGGGAAGCCATCGTCCCGGGAGAGGCTGGAGCCAAAGGAAAAGAGGTGAACCAGCGAACACTCGAGCTGCGGGGGATAGGGCGACCCTGGCTTGGGAAGCAGCTGCAAGCAGAAAAAAAGGGACCATGGCCTTGGAGCCTCGCATCTGGCCCAGGCTGAGCATCTTAGTAAAACGAGCCTGGTGGGGTACGAGAGGGCACCCCCTCCCCCAAGCTCGTCCATTCGGTTTTTAACCCCAACCACGCCCCGCCAATTCCAATGAGATTTATGGGATTTCCTCCGGCGCCCCTCTGAAATGAACCGCATAAGCCTTCTGCCTCTCCAGAGATGACCCTGGGGGCCTGGAATTTTCAGGGGAGATCCCTAGTGGGAAGGATGGGAGCACCGAGATCTCTCCTCCCTCCTCCTCCTCCCCGCCCCGGTCCACTGAAGGCCCACCAATTGTCTGGGATCTTTCACCCTCCTCTTCAGCCACAGTCGGCATCTCTTGGGACCCTCTCTTTCTTTGGCGGGGTGGGGGGGGGGGGGTCGGGGAGGGAATGCTAAGCGCTAGTTCCCTCCCTTTCCACTTGACTCTTTTCTCGACTCCAACTAGAAGAGCTTGGAGAGCGGGTTCTAGAATGTTTGAGGTGTGCAGGGAAGAGCCCGCCACCTCCTCCGAGCTCACAGCGCTGGTGAGGCACAGGACAGGTCCCGGCCTTCCTATCTTGGGGTGTATGCAGTCCGAGGGGCAACGCAGGGGTGGCGTGGGCCTCGGAAGTCTGGAGGGACCACTTCTCTCCCTTAGAGCCAACTCGTTCATTAAACAGTTGAGGAAACTGGAGCCTAGGGACATTAAGTGCCATTCCTAAGGTATCTTAGGTGGGATTTGAACCCAGGCTCTTTCAACAATACCGGACTGCCTCCCTTACTAACTGGCAGACGACCCCATTCCGAGCCACAGTTTCCTCAAGTGTAAAATCAGGAGAATAACACCTGTAGCACCGGCCTCCTGTCGGGTTCAAATGAAATCTCGTGGGTAAAGCCTTTGAGCGCAATGCAAACACCAGTTATTATGTACTATTAAATGTGGCTTGGAGGAAGAGGAGGCGGGCGGAGGAGACGGGAGTGGTCAGTACCCACGCCTCTCCCTTCTCCTTGGGAGCGCGGAGTGCTAAAATGCTACTTGGCCAGAATCGAAGAGCGACCGGCTCCCTGGAATAGCCCATGCACCCGCCAGACTGCCCCACACCCGTGCGCACATACATACGGGCACACGCTATCAGCGTGGACACCCCCCCACCGTGGGGCAAAAGTGCTGGCCCTTCTTCACCTTCAGTCAGCCCAAGTCCCCAGAGCCGGCGGGCAGCACTGAGCCCCAAAGCCGGCGATCTCTTCTTGGAGAAGAGCCAGCAGAGACGGCTCCTGGTGGAGCTACGGTCCCAGATGTGCAAGCTCCAGCCCCAGGGACTGATGTTCACACACACACACACACACACACACACACACACACACACACACACACACACACGCACACACCTTTCCAGGAGACTTCTGGAGACCCGCAAGCTGGCAGGTGATAAGAAAACTGAGGTCTGAGGTCGAGGAAAAGAAAGGCGCTTGAAGCCCAGGGTTAAAGTCAAGGGCTCCGGACTAAGTCACCTGGCTCCTTCCATCGGACAGCTTTCCTTCTGCTGCCTCACGAGGTGGAAACTGGATTCTAGAAACCGCCCAAACAGGTGAGACATGGGTCATCTCACTTCCACCACCCCAAGATACCCCACCTCCCAGCTCTGGTCAGTCTCCAGAGCTCCCAGCAGAGGTCCCTCTGGGGTCCTGGTAGTCTGTTGCCTAGGGCTGGGGGCCATTGGGAGGAGTTGGGCTCGAGACTCCCCCCGGGGCGGCAGCATCGAACCCCCCCCGTCCCCTCCCCCTAACTTCCCTCCCAGGCCCCCTTCGCAGGCCCTGGGGACTGCAGCTTCGGCTTGCCATTGGTCGGGAGCGCCAGTGGGAGCTCCAGGCTCCGCCAGCCTGGGTGGGCGGGGGGATGACATCAGTGGGCCGCTTGGCTTATAAAGGCACTGAGGGGAGAAGCCGGGTTCAGAGCGCTCCCGGCCGGCGCCGCTGAGCAGTCGCAAACGAGCGCAAGTCCACCTCGCACTCCCGCGGCACTCTGACTCCACCGCAACGCGGCTCGGGGCACTTCAGTCAGCTCCTCTCTCCGCCCGTTGCGCTGCGCTCAGCTGCGAGCGCCCACCACCCGCTCGGAACCCGCCTCGCCATCCTTCTCCGCAGCCCTTGCACCCCTGTACCCCTGCGTGGGCCCCAGTATCCCCCAGCACCATGCACGTCTCCCAACTGCTGGCCTGGACGCTGCTTCTGACGCTCCTCTCGCTTCGTCCCGAGGCCAAGCCAGCCGCGCCGCAGAAGGTGGGTGCCCTTCCCTCCCCGGGGCGGAGGAGGTGGGGAGGGGGCGCAGATTTGCCTGGGGAGAAGGAGAGTCCATCCCGGGTCCCCAAGAAGTATCTAGACAGTCGGCCGGCCCCGCGGGATCCCCGGGGCCCAGGGGAGGTGGCTTGAAGATCAGAAGGAAGAAACCCTTCTTGCTCCCTTTGACGGATGACAGAAGTAGGTACGGGCGCCTAGCCAAGCTCAGAATGCGCCCAGGACCGGGAGGCGCAGGCAAAGTGCCCACGGGTCGATAGCACAGCAGGTGAATGACGGTGCTCCCCGAGAGGGAGAGAGGGCACAGGTCGGGGCAGAACCCGTGATCCGGACGGGGGGGAGGGCACTCCTGGGGATCAGGGGGCCCTGGGGGCGCTTTGGAAAGGAGGCATGACCCTCACGGTCCCACGTCTACTTTCCTCCTCCCCCCGACAGCCCCCGCGGACCCCGCCCGGAGAAGAGGTGGCGGGGCTCCTGGCCGCAGCCGGCGGGGACAAGAAGGGGGACAAGGCGCCGGGGGGCGGCGGCGGCGGCGGCGGTGGGGCCAATGCCAAGGGCTCCAACGCGCGGCTGCTTCGCGACCTGCGCGTGGACAGCCGCTCGAGGGCGGCTTGGGCACGCCTGCTGCACGACTATCCCAACGCACGCAAGTTCCGAGGCGTCAACAAGAAGGGCTTGTCCAAGGGCTGCTTCGGCCTCAAGCTGGACCGGATCGGTTCCATGAGCGGCCTGGGATGCTAAGGCGGCGCCCCCTGGCGGCGGTGAGTCTCTCGGACCCCCTTCTCTGAGCCCTGTTGGGCCCCGGAGCAGGTGCCTGCGCGAGTCGTAGCGTCTCTCCAACCCCCGTTTTATAGATCAGGAAACTGAGGCCAGAGAGCGAACTAGGGTCACAAAGTGGCAAGTGAAAGAGACAGCACCGATTTGGAGTCTGGGGCCTGTGTGACCTTGGGCACTTCCTGCCTTCCCAAGTTTCAGTTTCCCCATCTGTAAAGTAGGGGTTGGCTCCAATGGTTTCTAGCCCTAAATCTAGGAACCTAAGTTGCAGAGTCAGGATCTGAACTCAGGCCCTTCGATTCCAGATCCAAAGCTTTTTTCCCCCATGCTAGGTGAGTCATGAGTCAATGGTTAGAGAGCTGGGGTACAGACTCTTGGAAGTATGTTTGTTTCTCTGTTACAAGGTCCCTAAGTTAGATCTGGAAGGAACCTCAGAGACTGTGTGCCCCAACCCCCTCATGTTATAGATAAGGAAACTGAGGAACGGGGAGGGGAAGAGACTTGACCAAGGTCACCCAGATAGTATTCATCAGAGGCAGGATTTGAACCCAGGGTCTCTGACTCCAGAGCCCGCTTCCTTCCACCATACCACACTAAGACCCTAAGCCACGTTGCAAATCATCTGGTCCAACTTCTCCATTTTACAGATGAGGAAACTGAGGCTCAAAGAAAAAGAAAAGAGTTGACTAAGGTTGCACAGCTAATAAATTGGAGAGCCATATTCCAACCCCTGACTCAAAGATTCCATCCCTTCCTCCTCATTTTACCCTCTGGGAAAAAGGGCTAATCTTTTTTCCACATGAAGGGCCTTCTAATACCTAAAGATAGCCACCTCTTCTGTAAAATGAGGCTAACAATCCCAAAGGCACAGCTGTACCGATGTACCATATTCCCATGACTCCCTACTATTCCATAATCCCTTAGCTGCAGGGGAGGGATCTCTGTGCCATAGCTGTAGCCAGCTTTGGCAAAGAGCCAGCACATGGCTCAGGGAAGCCAGTTATGGCCTGGGCTTCATGCCCACAATCCTGAAAGGAAAATGGGGTCTTTTCTGGTCTCTGATGGTACCAGGCAGCAGCAGCCTGTATTTTCTCTGTTTAAGAGCAGAAAAGGCAGTTATCCCTGTTGCATGAGAGGTCAGAAAATGTATAAGGGAGGGGCTGCTAAGGATACTACTTCAAAGCCAGAGAGGATTATACTGAGGAACAAAAAGCCTGGGTCTCTTGCAGTTGGTGTCCCAGGGGTTAGGATGCCCATTAATTCTTCGAGGGGCAGGGGGAAGAGGAAGTTTTCACAAGTCCTATGTTTATAAAGAAGACACTTCTCCACAAAAGCAAATAGCCACTCCATCCTTCCTGTTTCAACTGCAAAATAAACAATTAAATCTGTGTGTGTGTGTGTGTGTGTGTGTGTGTGTGTGTGTATATATATATGTATGTATGTATACAGAAGAAAAATAGTCTGTCCCATGCAATAATCATGTCTCTTGAGAGCACTGTGCCTAAGGGTGTGGAACCATGGCTTTGAGCAGTTCAGGTCTTCTACCTGAATTTGCCCTAGGATGGTGTATTCAAAACCAACCAACCGACTCTAGCCTCTTTTTAAGCAGGAACAAAAACTGAAGCCCATTGGACCCCTCTCCTAGGTCCTGATGCTGATGCAGCCTTCATGCCTCTGGTGAGGAATACCTGGGTTTCCCTCTCTCAGCTCAAGGAAGAGTCAAATAAAGCAGATGCACTGCCCCACCAGATGTAAACGTTGCTTCCTTCCTTCCTTCCTTCCTTCCTTAATTTGTTGGACTGCATCTAAACCCATCAATCTGGAAACACCTTCCCCCTACATAGCAGCAGCTCCAACTCCTCTGTTGTTTCCAGTGTGTGAGAGATACCTGGAACACTGAGCTGAGTGGCTTGGCCAGGGGAACACGGGCAGTATGGACCATAGGCTGGACTTCCTGATTCTGAGGCTAGCTCTCTGGGCACTGGGCCACACTCCCTTTTTCTTCCTTTTTAACTTACCTTCTCTTCTCCCACCTCCCCCCCCCTCCATATTCCCTCTTCTACTTGGTCTAGAATTCAGCTGTTCCTCCCTTCTCCCAACTGCGGCAAAAAATGCACAGACTTCTCCCTGCCCTGTGCAGGGGCCTCCCAGAAATGATGGTGAGACAACTACTTTCTCCTCTTTACTCCTTGCTGCTCTCTTCCTTTCACAAATGGGGAAATGGAGATAAATAAGTGGCACCCCAGTATTCAGGCTAATATTTATCTAGCAGCACTTCACATCGGCCTGACATAGAAGGTGCTTCATGCATGCTTGTCTCAGACATCCAAATCCACCATCCCAGGCTTTGTAATATGGAAGCATAGAAGTCTGGTGTCTCTGGAGAAATCAGCTTGTCTAATGTCTGGCCCTTCTTCTACATCTGATTCTGGGATCTGTCTCTCTTAAGTACTCCTTTAATGCTTAGGAAACTCCTGGAGGGAACAGAGATCTAGGTCACCGAGACTTCGGTCTTCGTTGCAGCAAACGTAGCAATGTGTGCTGGGTGCCAGTATGCAGTGAGCAAATTCCCAGTCCCTATGACCTCTCTGAGCCTCAGTTTCTTCCTCTACAAAATGGGAATAATAGCAGTGTTGTAAAGGAAGAGTTTTGCCTGTCTGACAGTGCTCAGAGAATTGTGAGTGCAGCTCTTCGCCTGTCTACGTGACCTGCCCACCTCCTTTTCTGATCATTTCTGGAGTGATAATCCTCAGTGAAGCCTAATGGTGCAGGTGAAAAGAGCACAGAACCACAGGACCTGGGTTCAAATCCCACTGTTCACGCTTACTGTGTATGTGTGTGAGACGATGGGCAGTCACTTAAACTCTGTGACCCTCAGTTTCCTCATCTGTAAAATGAGGGGGTTGAACTAGAGAGCCGCTAAGGTGCCTTTCAGCTCTATATCTTTGGGCCATCCCTCTTCGTAAGCCTAGGTCTTCATTGGAAAAAAAAAAGATTTTTTAAAGGCAAAACAGTTCTTGACCTCAAGGAACTAACACTTCATTTGTTTTTTTTCTGAGAACTGCCTAGGTAACAAGGGAGGCACTGTGGCTGGAAGATTTGGGTTCAGTCCTACCTCTGACCATTCCTGGCTGTGTGATCTTGTGTGACCAATTAACCTCTCTGAGCTCCCAGGCAACTCTCAGACTAGTGACTGAAGTCACAGATGGAGAGAGGTCTGCCTAAGTTAAAAGAGCTCTCCACCTGGGTGGAGTCCCAGATTCTCTGCCTGGTCACCCAGAGGGGTGCTTTGTTCTGCCCCTCTGGACACTCCTGCTTCTGGTTTCCCAGCTGTGAGGTGGGTTGTGGGAGAGCTCTCATCTGTTTGACAGATCACAGGATGAAAGGATCCTCCATTTGGAAAAGGATCCTATAGGGTCATCTAGTCCCAAAACTGATGTCCAAAAAGGGTTAAGTGACTTACCTAGGGTCACACAACTGGGAAGTGAATGAGCCCATACCTGAACTCTCCACTGCAGTGATGTGTAGACCCAGCAACACTTTCTCACCCTGACTTCTTTGCAGCCCCTGAGGGTTCAGACCAACATGATCAGCAGGGTCTGGGTGAATGAAAAGCATCCAATGTTGTCCATTCACATGAGGTCCATCTTAGTCATGACTCCTGGATTTCCCACCAGCTGGGTGACCTTGGGTGACCTTGGGCACATGGCTTGGCTTCAACATCTGCAAAGAAGGGACGTTGTGAGAAAAGTGTGTTATAAACTCTTATGATACCATGGAAGGAGAAATGGGATTAGAGTCAAAGAATCTGGGTTCAAATCTGGCCTCTGGTGCTTACTTAACCTCAGTTTCCTCTTCTGTAAAATGAGGAGAGTGGACTAAATGTCCTCTGAGGTCCCTTGCAGGTCCAGAGCTGTGATCCTATGAAGTCTTCTAAGCCTCAGTTTCTTCAGTCTGTCAGATAAGAGGATTCCTTGTAGCCCTAAGTCTATGACTCACATGGTGTGATCTAGGGGTTGGGAAGCCGCAGCACTTTGACGGAATCCCAACTTCACATAACGAATCCCCTTCATAAAAGGATTTGTTCTGTAAAACTTGGACTCAGTCCAAGGGCCACACTTGAGGACCTAGAGGGCCACATGTGGGCTGGAGGCCACAGGTTCCCTACCCCTGTAGTCAGAGTGGTCCCCATGGGTTAGCTGAGAAGGCTTTAAATGGATTTCGCTGTACTTTTCTACAGGACACTCCCTGATCCTGCCCCCTTGCCTCATGGAGTTACTGTGTATTACTTTCAGAATACATTGTATTCCCTTATCTTCATACATGCCCCCTCTCCTTATGCAATGGAAGCTCCTTGGCTGGGGACAGGGACATTTCTTTGCATGGCCTTGGTACCAGAGGGACTATAATCAATGATCACTGAATTGAATGGAATTTGTGTGTTTCAGGACCAGGCAGCGCTGGCTCAGCTCGCTGAAAGCATCCTCGGTTACCTGCCCCGAAACATCTGCAAGCACCTCCAACAGTTGTGGCTTTGACATTCCCTTGGGGTTTTGTTTCTGGTATAGGGAGGCACCACCAACTGTTTGGTTATTGTTTGGGGAGGGGTGTTCTTATGTTGTTGGGTTCTTGTTGTTTTTCTCAAAATTAAAAATAAAAGTTATAAATTATATATTATATATATTATATACATGAAACCCCCCTCCTACCCTGTCCCCCACTTTATGGAGACACGAAGACAAAAAACCGTTTTTCCGAGCCTGATGAGGCCAGCGATATATCGAAACTCGCTGTTTGTAAATTCATGTCATGCATAAATGTATTTATGTTGTAAAGCTATTTATATTGTTTATAAAGAGATATTTATAAAAATTTTATTTATGTAACTAAATGAAGGGAGTCCATCATTGTAATGTGCTTGTCCTCAATAGTTTGGAAAATGGAAAAAACATCCCATGAATATCTGGACAGCTGTCTTTATTTATTCAACCTACATGTTTCTTTTGAAAGAACAGAATGGTCCACAGGTTCTTGATATTAGAAGTTTTGTCAATGTCCTTATTTTCCTAATGTCTCCATTATTTTCTGCTAGACTGTGGTATGGTACAAAGAGGGCTGGATTTTGATGGCCATCCAAATTCTGGCTCTTCTGTCTTACCTATATGACCTTAGGTAACTCCTTGAATCTCTGTGGGCCTCAGTTTCCCTCCTCTGTAAAATGAGGGGAAAGGGTTGAACTAGATCGCCTCTAAGGTAGAATGTAAACTCCTTGAGGGCAGGAACTATTTGATTGTTATTTTTGTCTCTCCTGCACCTAGCTCAATGCCTGGCACATAATAGGAACTTAATAAACGCTTATTGGATGAACACGTTCCCTTCTAGGTCTATATCTCTGTTACGATCCTTTCTTGTCCTCTCCCCACCAGATAACCCTCCTTTGGGAAAAAGAAGAACACCCAACAGCATTTGTCCCTGCTGTGTTCTGCACCTATCCATCCCAACCGATCACCCAACCCTCATCTTCTCTGAAGAGGAGAAAAAAGAACAATTCCTCCTCTGTCCTCCGGAGCTAATATTGTTCATGCCATTTAATCTGAATTCAGGCACCTTTTGGTGGTTCATTTCCATTATGGTAGTCATGTATATTGTTTTCCTGGTTCTATGTTCTTCCCTCTGTATCGGTTCATACCTATCTGCCCATATTTCTCTGAATTCTTGGCATTTGTCCTTTCTTAGAAGGCAAATATATTCCAGGATATTCACACTCTCCTATCTTTTCAGCCATTCCCCAGTTGTTTAGCATCTGGCTTCCTTCCACTTTCTTGCTATTTCAAAAACAGCAAATATATTTCAAAAATATAATTACTTTGGTATACATCCAATCCATTTTTTTCCTAAGGAGGAATCACTTGGATGGTACTAAGAGGGTAATGGGATGGGGTCTCTTCTCAGAAGGATCTTGAGGTTCCCTACACTATATTTGATGAATAAATTTCAAGTGTTGACTTCAGTTTGTCCAAATTATGAATTTCCTTCCCCCTAATGATAGGTGAGAGAGTTGAATTTAAAAGTTCCAAATGCTTTGTGAGTGACAGAGGGGCTCCCTAAGCTGGTTTTATGGCTTGTGACTTTCCTGCAGATAATTGAATAGACTTGGCCTTCTATGATGCAGCTGGGAAAGAATCGACCTCTTCTGAGGTCTTATCCATGGTTCTGCTTCCCAGACACAACTCTCTCTGGCATCGGAGAGGAAAATACAGTTTTTCATAATAGTGCAAGCTAAAGCATGTTAGCATCTTTTCATGTGCATTCCTGAGATGCAGCCCTGGGCCCCCTTTCTTTCTGTCTAAACCTCAGCTGGATTCCATTGTCATCTCTATATAGGTGATTTCACATTTCTATATCCAGCCCAAGCCTTTCTTCTGAGCTCTAGTCTCATGTCACCACCTGCCTACTGGACATCTTGAACTGGATGATCTCAAAGTCATTAGGCCCAAAACAGAATTCATTATCTTTCCCCCAAAGTCTATGTCCCTCAACCCTCCCCTCTAACACTGTCCTTCTTATCACTGAAGTTCAAAAAGTAAGAGTCATTCTTGTTTCTTCCCTCCCTCACCCGCTACCACCAGTCAGTCACTTGCCATTTTCACCTCCACACTATCTCTCAAATCCATCTTCTTCCCTCCACTTGAATACATCATCACCATTGCTTCACTACCTTTCACCTGGACCATTACTGTAGCCTCTTCATGGGGCTCCCTGCCTCTACCCTTTCCTCTTTCCAATCTAGGCTCTACTGGAGCTGCCAAATTAATTTTCTTCAGACACAAGTCTGATCATGTAACACCCCTGATCAAAACATTTCAAAGACTGCCTACTGCCTCTACGATAAAATCCAAGTTCCTCCGCTTAGCATTGAAGACCCTTCAATCTGACTCCAACCTCACTTCCTACACTTGGTTTCACATTACTCCCTTCCTAGACGCTACTCATTGTTCCCAATACAAGATATTGCGTCTTCTCCCTCCATGACTGGAATGGTTTTTCTCCTCACATCTGCTCCTTTCAAGGCTGGGCTCATGATACCTCCCCAATTATTCTCCATCAAGCAATTACACTTACACATATACATTTTATATCCACATATAAATATATGTCATATGTTTACATACATATACACAAATTTGCACATGTAATTATAGAATACAGAGAAATATATTTATATATTAGTTGTGCACATACATCCCTCATTAGAATGTAAGCTCCCTGAGGGCAGGGACAATTTAATTTCTATCTTTTATCCTCAGCATCTAGCCCTGTGTCTGGCACATAAAAGATACATAATAAATGCTTGCTGAAATATAAGAATGAAAAAGAATTTGTTAAGTACCAACTATGTCCAAAGCACTGGGTCTCTAAAAGTGAGACTGTCCCTGCTATCCAGGAGCGCACATTCTAGTGCAGAAGACAAGGCGTTTTAAGGGTTTCATCTGCCAGATGGAAGGTGCAAAGAAAAGCAGGTGTTGATGTAGTCTCTTTCCTGCCATTTCCATCGATAAGATCCTATCCATTTCTGGTGGATTTGGCAGTGCCAAATGACTTGATTTAGCTCACATTTGAATAGAGGGATGGATGGAAATGCATTTAACGTTGCCAGGGCCCTGAGCCAGGTCCTCATCACCTCCTGCCTAGTTTATTGCCTCGGGCTCCTGCTTGTTCTCCCTGCCCAATCCTGTCCTTCACTTGGCCACCAAACTGATTCTTTTAAAGCACAGGTCTGATCCTGTCGCGCCCCATTCAATAAACTCCAGTGACTCCCTGGCTCCTCCAGGATCAAAAAGGAAATCTTCCGTTTGGTTTTGGAAGCTGCCCATAACTTGGCCCCTTCTTCCCTTTCTAGTCTTCTTCCTCCTCCTCCTCCCATAGATGCTGTGATCCAGTGACCTCTGACTTATTCCTCAAACAAGACACTTCACATCCTATGCATTCTCTCCATGCCTGGAATTCTCTCTCTCCTTGTCTCTGCCTCCTGTCTGCTCTGGCTTCCTTCAAATCCCAGCTAACTCACTCCAAAAGAAACCTTCCCCACTCCCTTAATGCCAGTGCCTTCCCAATGCTTTTTAGCTTCAATAAATCCAGCATATGGTTTGTGTGTTTTCTCCTCCTTAGACTGTAAGCCCCTCGAGGGCAAGGATTGTCTTTTTTTTTTTAGGACAGTGACTAGTACACAGTAGTTGCTCAATTAATGCCTAAGCATTGACAATGTGCCAGTTTTATGCTAAGGGCTGGGGACATAGAAACAAAAGCCAAGCACAGAAAAGGTTTGCAAGGCATTTTACAGCCTCTGAGGCTGAGATGCAGCACAGCCTGGCTCAGTTTTCTGCTGCTTGTGTTAATTTTGGCCTAACAATTAGCACCAAGAAAACCCGGGTGCTCCATCAGCCACCACCACACCATCCACATGTGGAACCCTCGGTTACAGCAAATGGAGAAGTGTTGAATACCGTGGAAAAGGTCACTTACCTTGGCAGGGATATACACGTGGATAATGAGGTGGATGCCTACATTGCCAGAGCCACCTCTGTTGGGGAGGCTCCAAAGGAAACTGTGGGAGAGAAGAGGTATTAGACTGACTACCAAACTGAGGGTCGACAGAGCCGTTGCACATTGTTCTATGCCTGTGAAACCTGGGCAGTCTACCAGAGCCATACCAGGAAACTGAATCGCTTCCATTTCAATTGTCTTAGGAAGATTCTGAAGATCACCCGGCAGGATAAGGTACCAGACAGTGAGATCGTTTCACGGACAGTACTGCCAAGCATTCAAACTCTTCTGCACGGAGCGCAATTCTGATGGGCTGGCCACATTATTCAAATGCAAAATGTTCACTTGCCTAAAAGACTATTTTATAGAGAACTCACACAGGGCACTGTTCACATGGTGATCAAAAGAAGCCATGCAAGGACGCTCTCAAGGTCTCTTTGAAGAACTTTGGGATTAGTTGTGTGATCTGGGAGACACTGGCACAGAACCGCCCAGCATGGCACGCCCTCGTCAGAGAAGGTGCTGCGCTCTCTCAGTAAAGCAGAAATGAAAAGCCTCAAAAGAAACACAAGATACACAGATTTAGAGAATCCACCCTAAATGTTCACATGGCCTATTTGTGCCCTACTTGTGGTAGATCATTCTGAGCTTGTATTGATCTGTTGAGCCACAGCGGGACACACTGCACCTTGACTCCAACATAGTGATGCCATTTTAGTCCTCTTTGAGTATGAAGGCCAATAACCAACCAACCTCTTTGTATCCTCACAACAGCCCTGGGAGAAAGGTGCTGTTATTACCCCCATTTTACAGACCAATCCACAAACATTTCTTTCTAGACACAATCTTTGCACTTTCTTCCACAGGAACCTTGGCTTCAGTCCCTGGGTCCCTCCCTGGTCCTGGGCCAGGCTCCAAGCCTGGGGTGAGCATTTCCAATCCACACTGTCTTGGCCACTCCTATGCCAACCCCAGACAGGTCCC